TGAGAATGCATCTGTTCAAATGCTTTTATATTGGTTATTTAATATAATATCCCCAAATATCAATGCTCAAGTTATAATTACATATATTTTAGCAAAAAAAAGTATATTTTGTAAGTCGGCTATTGATGATTTTAAAAGGTCACGTTTAGAATCAATTGGGGATGATACAATTGGATGGAATTGTTTAATTCTTGTTTTACATACATTATTACAATTATTATTAATTATAATTATTGATACTGGTTTATTAAAATTTTCATATTCATTTTTATATAAATCAAATTTTGATGAAAATACACTTGATGATGATGTTTTAGCTGAACGTTCTCGAATATTAGATTTACAAACAAATATATTTGATGATGATGATGAACATATTGATTATTTAACAGTTAATGATCTTGTAAAATATTATTCAAGACGAAAAATTTTAGCTGTAAATCATTTAACATTTGGTGCAAAACGTGGTGAAGCATTTGGTTTACTTGGTTATAATGTAAGTATTTAAAATACTTTTTAAAGAAAATCTTTCGAATTAATTTAAATAGGGCTCTGGAAAAACTACAACATTTCGTGTTATAGTTAATGATTTAATATCAACACAAGGCACAGTTTATATAGATGGACAAAGTGTTCGTCGTCGTATAAGATCAATACGTCATTTAGGTTATTGTCCACAAGAAAATTGTAATATGAATTTTTTAACTGTTCAAGATAGTCTTTATCTATTAGCACGTATACGTGGTGTAAAAAATTCACATATAAAAATGATTGTTGAAACGATGAGTTCATTATTTTTACTTGATTCATTTTTAAATAATTATATTCATCAATTAAGTGGCGGAACAAAACGTCGATTACATGCTGCAATAGCATTAATTGGTAAAACAGATTTAAAAAATAAATGATAAGATGAAATTTTTTGTTTTTAAGGACCACCATTAGTTGCTATTCTTGATGAACCAACAACGGGTGTTGATCCAAATGCTCGACAACAAATGCAAGAAATATTTTTAAATGCTGTTAAAGCTAAATTAACAGTTATTTTAACTAGTCATGCAATGGATGAATGGTAAGAAAAGAACAACAGTCAATAAAATAAAAGCTGTTAGTACGATCCCGGTGAGATTAAAACGTCAAACACGATGAATCTGTGTACAATGTAAACGAGGAAAGTTACCAGTGTATATTTTGGTCATGACTTACTACCTATTGTCAATGTATGTCGGTAATGAAAGATGTTAACCGCACTATATTACAGTGAGAGTAAGACAAGCACAAATGATGGGTAACTTAGATTCGGTCGTGTTTCATACTGATTCTGCGGTAGAATTCAGTGTCAGAGGTCGAAGCGAACTGAACTTTTTCGCTTTGGCTCTGTTGAGTTTTTTAAAAGTCACTTCGAATTCGGTTCTGTTCGACTCAGTTTTTCCAAATGATGGCTCAAGTTCGGATCGGCTTGAACCAAACCTAGTCGCTTAAATTTAGTTTCAGTTCGACTTGAACCAACAAAAACAATTGAAGCAAGCTGTGATTTAGTATTTTAACGATTAATAATCATTCAATTTAAGTGCTCTTCAACCGATGACGTGCTTAAAAGAAATAAGAGCACTTCTTTAAGTGTATAACATGACTTTCCAAAACTTAGAATTGCTATAGACCCAAGCCGAACCTATATCGTCCAGTTAGACTTCAGTTTGATTCGACCAAACTTTCAAAAAGTCCATTCTGATTCGATTTGCATTAGTAAGAGAATGTTATACTAGATATCTGTTACGAGAGAAAGACGTTGCTTGGAGTCTATGACTAGGCAGAAGGGAGACGTTGCTATGATGCTGTAAAATAGAAAGACATTGCTAAAAATACCTGTCATAGTCTGTAAGGGAGGGACGGAGTGACAAATCTCTACTTCTATACATTTCAACACTCGTTTTAAGTCGTGTTTCATAACGTCAAAATTTTTATTTTAGTGAACGTGTTTGTAATCGTCTTGGTATAATGGTTCAAGGACAATTAATTTGTTTAGGCACAATTCAACATTTAAAATCTAAATTTGGTCAAGGTTACACAATTGAAATAAAAGTTCGTTCAATATCTGATGATACAAATATTACACCAATTCATAATGTTCAATCATTTTTATTATCACAAAAACAATATCATGTTGAAATAAAAGAAACAACAAATTCAACTGGTTTATTTCAAATATCACAAACTACACCTGCTGAATTATTTCAATTAATTGAAGAAAATAAACAACGATTAAATATTGAAACATACACGATTTCACAAACAACACTTGAACAAATATTTTTATCATT